TTAAATCTCTAAATTTATTTCTTCTAAATTGATGGTTTCATGCTTTAATTTTTTTAATAAATTATTTTTGCCCTTTCTTTTTCTTTACTATTTCTTCTTCCTTAATCTTGATATTTCTATCATGCTATCTCTTTATGAGTTTTTGTAAAAATTTATATCAACATAAATTTAATTATTAAATTTTTTAAAAAATATATAAAATCTTATTTGATGGATTCTTCCACTTTTTTAACAACATTTTCATTAAAACATCGAATTTATTATTTTTTATTTATCACTTTTCCACAATGTTTATGAAATATTTTAATAAAATTTTAAATGATAAATTTTTTCATTCTTTATTTTCCACTATTAATATCTTAGAATTAAAATTTTTTCATCTTTCTATTTTCCAAACTATTTATAATTTTAAGGTATAAATTTATATAGAAAAAATTTTAAAATTTATTAAAATACAATAAATAAGATAAAATGTACTCAAATTTTTATTTTTTATTTTTTGTATTTGGTGAATTTAAAAAAAAAACACACACAACAAAGAATATTATAATTTTTTATGTACAAACGTAACTAAATTAGATGTATCTAAAACATAAAAAATAATAATTAAAAAATATAAAAAATATTAAAATATTAAAAAAATTCAATAAAAATAAAAAATACAACAAATAAAAAACTCAATTTTTTGTGAGTAAAACCGAAAAAGATAATTGTCATTTTTCGTAAAAATACATGAACAAAATATCTATAATATTTTATTATTTTATATGTATAACCGTTAAATAACAAATATGTCATTTTAATCTAATAAAGGAGGAAGTCTAAATTTTTAAATGTGAGAGAGATCTGTATTAAACAAAAATTTCAAGGTGGCAGTATAATTTACCCTTCATGTAAATGATGATCACCAGTTAATAATCAAAGCCACACTTGCTTTCCTATTTATTCAATAACAACGAAACACAACAGAATAGAACAGAACTTATGTAGGAAAGGTTGTCAGAGATTATACAAGAAAAATTGCATTTAGAAAAGACACAAAATAAGAGTCATGGTATTTGTCCCTTGATTGGCAATAAAACTAAAAAGAGAATAACAGGCGCACAAAACAAAAAAAAAAGAGAACCAGTCTCACTTCTGAATGTTGTTTGGACAGCTTCTAAACTCCATTAGCTGGAGGTGTAGAAGTTCGTCGACAGACACCCGAGCTGCCCTCAATGTCTATATCTTTCACACCAGCAGTTAATGATGATGATGATGAATCAGACTTTCCATCCTTTTTCATGTCACCCTCCTCGTCTGATGCATCTTCAAGAAAGGAGCCTTTTCGCCGCAGTTCTTTTACTTTCCGAAATTCATCATAATGAGCTCGCCTATGCTCCCTGAAACTCATGCTGCTTGAATCTGTTCCAGAATCCGAAAAGGCTGTGACATCAAATAGCAGAGAACAAAGAAATCAGCAACCATGTGTCAGAATTAAGATCATATTTATAACATTAACTTGTTCCCTAGAACTAAGAGTACATGTTCTCAGTGCACAAAACAAGAACTTGCAGACATGCTCAATCATAGTAGTTGGTATTTCACCTTCCTTAAGTTGCGTCAAATTACCACTACTAAATGAGAAACAATCAACAGAAAATAGCAGTGGTGAAAGAGACTATTCTACAGAAGGTAATGTGAAATTAGTCCATGAAAAAAAAAAATATTTGTGAAAACAAGAAGTGGAGGGACAAATTAGAAACCTTCATCTTGATCCATGGGATCTGCCTCATCATCAGATGATGTCCAGCCGCCAGACTGCTGAGAGTTTTTCCCACTAGAGGAAGCTACATCATTCAAGGCAGACCGTATTGCTGCTGCGTGAATAGCATCAACAGTGCAATCCTCAGAACTATTCCTTACAGGAGATAGAGATCCTGCAATAACAATGAAAATTCAGCTCATACTGATTGTAACAATTACACAAATTTTCAACTAAAAGCCATGATAGTAATCCGTTAACAAAGCAATTAGTCATTCAAATAATAATTAAATAAACATTATCTACAACAACGAATTTCAATACAAGTCTTAACCTCAACTAAACCAATTAGTTTCAATACAAGTCTTATTTCCGATTCTGCTCTCGTGTCTTGTGTAATTGTAAAGCATAAATAATCAAGTCTCTCTCACACAACATATCTGGAACCAATACATAGACACAGACACTCGTGTAAATTCAGGTTTTTCTTCTTTCCTATATTTATTATGGATGTAAATGTAACTGAAGTGTACATAGACGCCATGTCATCTCACATCTCAACGTATTTACTCTCCACATAGCAAGCCCTCGAGTGAGCCACAACATCTTTTAAGCAATCTATTGGGGTTATGTGCATAATCTAAGTAGGGGTCCATCAAGCACCAAGTATAGTGGCTCAGCGCCTTAGTTGCAGGACAAAGCACCTAGTGATTGAGTAAAAGTATGGGGACCCCAAAGGCATGGCCAAGAAGACTATTCAGCCAAGCCAAGCCACCCTTGCTTGGCCATGCCCACTTGGCAGTGCCAAGAAGACCATAACTCAATTACAACTAACTCCGAAAAGCCATGACCCCTCATGCCTCATTCCATACACATACCACTACTATGATTACTGCCACCACCACTTTGGCATCCTAAGCTGAGAGCAGTAACTAGGCATTGACCACTCGGGATCATCAGAGGATTTTGGCTTGGAGGCTACAACCAAGGGCTTGTCGAGGTTTCATGGATGGAGATGAATCATATCTATGGATTGACTGAACTGATCCCTCCAAAGCATGCTTTTGCATGTATTTTGCTTATTATGCAGCCCATAGATGCAACACTGTAATCTGATCAAGAGCCCACAAATAAATACTAGTGTAACAACATAGGGAATTTAAAAGCTTTAAGATCCTATAGCAAATTATCAGCAGGTAAAGTGCCTTCAATTTCTGAGCCATCAAAGCAACTCCATGAATTTTATTTTTTTATTTTTTTTTTTTGGATAAATCAAAGCGACTCCATGATGGTAAGGGAAAACTTTCAGCACATTACTTTCAATTGATGAAAGAAATCCATATGCAACAAAACCACATTCATGACCTTAAAATTTCAATTGACATGCAGTCTCTGAACAACTTTTTCAGAAATAAAAATAAACTTTAAAAAATCAGGACAAATTTGGGTACACAGCTATAATCAAGCCAAAGCCCCAAATCATTTTTCAAGGAAGAGAGCTATATGCAATACAGATACACACAATTATGAAAAGAAATTGATCAACATACCATCATCATCAATCCTAGGGTGATAAGGCGTCTTCGGTTCGGTGATTTTCTGCCTCACGGGTTTATTTGCTTCAATTTCCCCAAGATTAGCCTCATCCCATCTTACACGCCCCCTAGTACCCAGATAAAAATGTTCACATTAGCACAATTTTGATATTATTTCATGCATTGGATAAAATGCTACTCACCCATCATTTTATAGAGATTGCATCGATAGCAAAACAATCATATCATAAGCAATCAGTTCATTGCCTATTAACATAAAGTAGAAGCATATAGTTTGGTGCCTTTCTTCACTTACAATACTCCATTACAGCAACGGCATACCGAATAAGGGAAACTTTGTTTATAGACTCAATGACCCACTATTAAAGCCATAAAGTGATGGTTATTGAATCCTTAACAACACGCCCAACATTTTATAAAGATTACATTGATAGCTAAACAATCATATCATAAGCAATCAGTTCATTGCCTATTAACATAAAGCAGAAGCATATAGCTCGGTGCCTTTCTTCTCTTACAATACACCATTACAGCAATGGCATACTGAATAAGGGAAACTTTGTTTACAGACTCAATGACCCACCTTTAAAGCCGTAAAATGATGGTACTGAATCCTCAACAAGAAGCCAACATTGCAATCACGGATAACAAAACAAGTTTGGAGCTTTCAGTTTCAGATTACATTCAGATGTAAGCTCTTTACAATACTGATGTAAGGTAAGTACTAAGCACTATCCACCATAAGCACTGATGTCTAAACTAATCTAGGACAGCACTTGGGGCCAATGTCACCAGTTTGTTTTGTTGATAAAGGTTAGAAAAAAGATGGCATTAGGGGTTTGCATCAGCTGAGAAAGGGGTGTAAAAGCAATGTTTTGCAGCTGTTCCGAGTTTGTGAATAATTTGGATTTGTTTTTTTGAGCTGCAGTTGAATAAGGAGGAAAACAATTAAGCTTGTCAAAGAGGATTTCTTTTAAGGTAGAGAAGGAATTAAGGTGGTCTGGCCATAAAGTCTAAAAACTTCAGGGGGGGGAAATAATATAAAAAATAAGAGCTATGAAACATGGATACGGATACAGGATGCATGCAGGTATGATATGATATGGGTACAATGTTATGACAAAACTTAAAAAGTAGAATATGGGTGTGGCTATGATACGTTTGTAAAAAAAATTAATTTTAGTATTGTACTATACACAACCTCAAAGGATGGTGATAAACCATTCTACAAAAATTAGTTCTTAGTTTAAGAACTAGTAGCCAGTTTACTTTTTTTCTTATTCTTTCTTTCTTTTTTGCCTATTAACATAAAAATTTCATTTAAATATCAAGTATAAACTATTTATATTGTCATTGTGTTTTCCCTTTCACACTTAATAGTAATAAACAAAAATATTGTACACAAGTTTATTTTCTTCTTTAATTGTTGAAATTTGACTTTAGTATCGTTATATTTTTTATTTATTCTTACTTTCTTCTATAAATAAAGTATGAATATGGATGTGGGACACATGTACACACTAAGGTAGTATTTGGTTCATTGGAACTGAATGGAATGGAATGATGATTCCATCAAAATATTCATTCTCATGTTTGGTTGACTAAAAAAATAATGAAAAATGCATTACAAATGTAATCATCATTCACTATTGTAATGGAATGATCATTCCATAAGAGAGTCTAAGGAATGACCATTCCACTCCATCTCATTTCAGTGAACCAAACACAGCATCAGGATAAGTCAATTTGATAAATTCTCAAATAAGTAGGATACTACAGTAATCTACTATTTCGTTCTTTACAAAGCAAGAAAAGTATTAAAAAATTATTCTAGTATTTATCTTCTTTACAAAGGAAGCAAAGTATATAAAATATTCTTGTATTTATCTTCTGTACAAAGTAAACAAAGTATTGAAAAATTATTCTTGTATTTATCCTAACAATTATACTCTAATATTATGTAAGAATTATTGCAAATTTCATAGTAGCTTGGATATATGACCTAGAGTATCCAAAAAGTATCTAATACTTCTCAAAATCAAAGAAAATTAATTTCAAGTATCAGATATGTTTAGGAAGTATATGATTTGTATATGCAAGTATCCGAGGAGAATCAGTATCCGATACAAATACGACTCTCTTTTAGAAGTATCCGTGCTTCATAGATAAAAAGAATAGAGCAACGAAGAACAAAATGGTAGAAGAATGTAGGTATCACCCGTAAGAATCCCTTAGTCAAACATAAGGTTAAAATTCCATAGCACAATCCTCAAAGTGCTAGATTGATAGAATAACTTTTATAATTCATGTTTTTCATTGATTGAATAAGTTATATCAGCATCACACACCTTTTCATACTACTGAGTTTAGTAGGAGGCCCTTATCATCCCTGGTATTCTTCCTCTCTATGAGATGTAAGATCAACCACCCAAGCCTTCTTTCCTATTCCTCAATGTTAAGAGCTACGAGGATACCGCCACTCAACTCCAATATTGGAAAGTATAGAATTCAAAAAAAATAAAAAATAAAACAAATAATAATAATAATAATTGCAAGACAAACATAAAGACCGATTAACTTGATTTGACCATAATAGGATTAATGAACCACTAGTGAAGTCCATGTCCAACATTCAAATTTTACCAGAACATCTACTCTTACAATTTAAGAAACTTGTATAAAACAAACCAACAACATAATAATATTAAGGACCAAATACACATTAGAACTCAACTAAACTATATTTGGACCTAAGAAGCATAGACACAAACATGTGATACGACACGGACACGCGAACACGTAAATTTTCAAAAAATACAAGACACGACACATTGGGGACACGTGCAAAAAATATAATTTTATATATTTATTATATGTCACATTTTTAAATATTTAATATATGTATTTTATATCAAATATTTAATTTTATCAAACTTATCAACTTTAGGTATGTTATTTTAGTAAAAAAATTAAAAATTTTACGTGTTCCCAATGTGTCCTCAGCGCATCTCCACATGTCTGTAGCATGTCCCAACATGTCCGACCCTTTCCAAGTGTCCGACACGTGTCAAACACTCGTACGTGACCTCTAGAGAGGTGTCCGTGCTTCATAGATTTGGACCATGCAAGGTCTCAATTGATTTGATGCTGCCCTTAGATGAAATCAAAATTTACCCTTACGAGTTATGAGCCTCTTATTGACAACATCGAGTTACATAAGCAAGTTTTATATAATTAACTACCCAAAATAACTAATTACATAACTCTTGACCTATACAAGATTCAAAGAAGGAACACCAAGTTTTGAGTCCTTGCCTATGGTATCCATCCTAGTCCTTTAATCTTATGGAAAGTACTAGCATCAACACATGTTCAGTAAACCAATCATCTTAACAAACCAAAAAATTAAACCAGATGGCGTATATTACTTCATTTCTGTAATCTGGTAAGGTTAGAAATCCCTAAAGCACGCCAAGTAGTTGCCAGTGGTCCTGATTATCCTGAAATTAAAACAGCTCAGCTTGTTATTAAGTAAAATGAATGAATATAGTATTTCACAACAAGATGAACAAGACAGTGGCAGATCCAAGAGTAGTAATGCTCGGACCTATATGACACATCCATAAATGAGATATGAGAAAGGTGGTTACACATCTCAAGGGTGAAATATAAGAAAACGAAAAATTACAATTACAATTACAATAATAATTTAATTAATGTAAAACATAACTAAGCATCAGAAAGCAAACAATACATCACAAGGATAAAATTCTTTTTTGGGTGAATACAAGGATAAAATACAAAACAAGAAAGTATAAATGTAACAAATAATGGAATGAGAATAACATCTACTCAAAGAAATATAGATCTTAGATGTAAATATGTAACTCCAACGTTATCTAAGATAAATGACAGTTTCCTCACTGAAAAGTAAAATCTGCAACTAGAGTACTCGTCTTAATAACGGTCAGCAATAATGAAGCATTATTGTGAAAGACAAAACATCCTCAAGTGCAAACCAGATTTTAAAATATAAGTACAAAAATATAAAGGATGGACATGTATCATATCATATGTAATATATATATATATATCAATGTTTTCAAAGGATTATTGAGGCATGCTTCAGGGTGAGGCGTAACAAAAACGCACTGACGCATGATTTTTTGTGCGCCACACCAACAAAGCGTAAGCTTCATGAGATGAGGCATTTGCCTAACATCCGCATTTTGCACTTTTCACGCATAATTGCGAAAAGCATTTGCATTTTGTGATCTAGGGAAAAAAAAAATTAATTTGAATCTTACCTCATATGCAACTTGAAGATAATCGACATTCAGGTTCGTGCTTTTTGAATCTCTCGTTCTCTATCTCTCTGTTTTCTCTCAGTTAGTACGTAAATTTCAACCAAATTTATGATAAGATTTCAAATTCAATGGGATGAAGAGTCCACCAAAACACAAAATCTTTGAACCCATATGAGCCAAGCGACACGTGGAGAACAACAGCAAATCAATCAACATCACATACAGAGCCTATAGTGGAAATGCTGTAGGAAACCACCTCTTAAAAGGATCAATATGATCTGTTGAAGTACATGATAAGGGAAAAAAATGTTGTATGTCAACAATATTATTCAAGATATTCAAGTGACACGTGGAGCCTACGAGATTTGAAGTATTGTAGGCTCAATTAAAGGATGATACCTGTAGAGTCTAGAGCAAATAAACCACAGGAGAAAATTTGGGAGGGAGATCAACACGATCAACCAAATTTGTTACGACAACAATACAGCGTTATCATAACAATTTGAAATTCGAAATGGAAATAAGGCGCCCTTATCACATAGATAGCCCTCTATAAATATGAGAACTATCACACAAGATCAGGGATCGGAGATCATAAATCAAAAATCAGAGAAAGAAAGAAATCAGAGATTGAAGAAGTTTTCAGAAGAAGGAAACGAGACCAAGAGAATTCAAAAGCTGCTTGTGAAGAGCGACAAGCATCAGTATTCAACACTCTATACACAAGCACATAGTACAATGGCAAGTAATAGACGAAGGGTTCTAAGCCCAACAATTGTACCTTTGTGTATTTAGGAGTTTTAAATCCCCAAAAATTCAATAAAATATTTCTTTTTCTTAAATTTTCTTTTGCTAAATTTTATGTTCTTCATTAATCAGAGGTTTCATTTATTTAAAGTGTGTAATTAAGGCCAAGTTTGGCATGTCCAGGAAAAGCCAAAAAGTCAAAAAGTTACTCAAAAAGTTAAAAAGTTAACACTATTCACCAAAAGTCAACAATTACGGCTACACAACTCTCAATCCTAATTTTCTCCTACAAACTAATTTTTACAATTTTTTATTACACATTTTTCCATAAAAAGTCAAAAAGTTAACCCAAACATCTATATTTTCTTCCTCAATTTTTTAGTCCAAAAAGACAAAAAATACACTTATTTAGGACACCCCAAACAACCCCTAATAATCTGAAACACAGATCAGAAATAGGAGCATGTTATCAAATAATCAACACTATTTAGTCCAAAAAACCTAAATAATGGACATTTGTAACATAAATTTTGAAATGCATTGAAAAATTTCAGGTTTCAAAATTTGTGTCTACATTATCAGTGGGTCTCTCATTGGGTCTCTCATTGGGTCTCTCTCTCTCTCTCTCTCTCTCTCTCTCTCATTCTTTGTCTCTCTGTTTTCTCTCGCCATCGTTGGTCTCTCACTCAATCTTTATTTCTCTCGTTCTCTATCTCTCTGTTTTCTCTCTCTATGTTGGGTCTCTCTCTATCGTTGTGTATAAAGAATGGGGACTCTTTGACTCTCTCTGTTGGCCAGAAGCATTTATGATAGGAGATGATATTTATTTTTTTATTTAAAGCTCTCTCTTTTTCAATGGGACTCTCCAACTCCCAATTTATTGACTAAAACCTTCATCATTCATTAAAAGAGAACTGCCTCTAGTATTATCTTTATTTGAAGTTAATGGCCATCTTTATTATATTATGGATTACACCTCACCTCATCAATAATAAAATGCCTAACCTTGCACTTTCGCCTTTGAAAACTTTGATATATGCGCATATAAGCATAAAGTATAGACACATGTTTGTGTATCTTTTCGACATTTCAATAGAAGAGTATCCAACAATTATTTATTTACATCTAAATTTGATATGGCAAATGAATATGGAAAAATAATAACAATGTATGTAATGGTTATAACTTAACACTAATTCCTTTGTCTATTGTTATCTTCCTTTCTTTTTTCCCTTTTCTTTCTCTTCTTTTTAGTTTTGTAGGTATAAATGATCCAGATTCCACACTTTGTTGTGAGTGGGGTAGAGCTCTACTCTATGAAGTTAGACGGTTTAAGAGTTCTTATGAAGGAACCATACTAGAAAGAGAACATAAAGGGCCTTCAAAAAAGAGCGAAGGAGGGCAACCTTAGTCTATATGTTGCAACTTTTGTTCTTGTTTACACTACCCAATAGTGGAGCTAGGTGATTAGCCAAACAGGTAGCATATCGCAAGTCCATGTTGATCAACTTGTCCACTCCGGAGGAAGAAGTCTCTTGCCATATTCTTGACTTTATTAATCCAAACCCCACTTTTTTCTTTATTTATGATCTTAGGGGAACCAATCCATCAAAACTTAACCGGTTAGCTTAAGAGTACCCATTAATCCTTTAGTTCCTCTTGCTTACCAAAAGGTAAGTACCAACTTTGAGGCTATATATGGGTCCGCCTTTGACGTGGCCTAGATGTGTCACCTCCATGACATTGCTAATATCATCTCCTACGTATGCTTTGGTCCCACATGTCAGCCTCTCGAGGTAACATCATGACCAATGAGACATTAGGCATCACCACGTCTCTCTTCCTTCAGAATAGGATATCTTCAATTAATGCTAACTTACACAATGCCTTATTCATGAGCCACGATAAACAAGGCAAACTCCAAGGAGCCCCAAACGTGCTTGGTCCTCTCTCACTCAATGGAATGAACTTATCATCCAAGCATGACTATCTCCCTCAGCTAGCTGAGTGGTTCCCCACCCAAGCACGTCTTTCATATGGCTTGAACTTGACTCTCCAATGACATCATAATGCTCCTATGTCCGCTATTAGGAGCAAGGAAGCACACCTTTGAAGGTTGATGTCACGGTCATGGGACACTCGAGCAAACCCACGACCCTCGTGCAGGATCGTTGGGGTTGGGTGGCTTGATGGAAGCAGTTTAACATTCATCAAGGTGTTCATCTCTCTCTCAAGATCTCCATGAGACGGCACCTGGTGTGCTTAATATCTCTCCGTACTTGAGGAGCACACCCAACCGCCTCTACAGCCCTTGTGGCCAATGAGGATTTCAGCACCACTACCAACCGTGATTTGTTTGCTCACTAGTTTGTCAGGCTGTAGAGGGAATCACCTATCCCTTGCAGTCACTATGGCACATGCTCCTGGTACACTCAGGTCAGCTAGCCTCCATGGCCTAGCAATCCTCCTCCTTCATTTCCATGCAACCACCACTATGGCGTTATGTGGAAATTCCAACAACTTACTCCAAACCTCCATTAATGCTCTCTCTCTCTCTCTCTCTTTCTCTCTTCCTTTCAAGTCAGATTGCCACTGCTCTCACCCAATCTGCCTCATATAATCTTGCTTCATCTCAGAGTCAATCACACTTCCCATCTGAACCTTATCATTAATTTCAAAGGTTGCCATCACACATCACGATAAACAAGGCAAACTCCAAGGAGCCCCAAACGTGCTTGGTCCTCTCTCACTCAATGGAATGAACTTATCATCCAAGCATGACTATCTCCCTCGGCTGGCTGAGTGGTTCCCCACCCAAGCACGTCTTTCATATGGCTTGAACTTGACTCTCCAATGACATCATAATGCTCCTATGTCCGCTATTAGGAGCAAGGAAGCACACCTTTGAAGGTTGATGTCACGGTCATGGGACACTCGAGCAAACCCACGACCCTCGTGCAGGATCGTTGGGGTTGGGTGGCTTGATGGAAGGAGTTTAACATTCATCAAGGTGTTCATCTCTCTCTCAAGATCTCCATGAGACGGCACCTGGTGTGCTTAATATCTCTCCGTACTTGAGGAGCACACCCAACCGCCTCTACAGCCCTTGTGGCCAATGAGGATTTCAGCACCACTACCGACCGTGATTTGTTTGCTCACTAGTTTGTCAGGCTGTAGAGGGAATCACCTATCCCTTGCAGTCACTATGGCACATGCTCCTGGTACACTCAGATCAGCTAGCCTCCATGGCCTAGCAATCCTCCTCCTTCATTTCCATGCAACCACCATTATGGCATTATGTGGAAATTCCAACAACTTACTCCAAACCTCCATTAATGCTCTCTCTCTCTCTCTTCCTTTCAAGTCAGATTGACACTGCTCTCACCCAATCTGCCTCATATTATCTTGCTTCATCTCAGAGTCAATCACACTTCCCATCTGAACCTTATCATTAATTTCAAAGGTTGCCATCGCATATCAACCGTAAAAATTTAGTCAGCTCTAATACAACTTTCTGATTTAAATTCATCAAATTACATTCCATCTGTTGAAACTATGATCAAAAGAGAAATATTAAACAATAATAATTAATTTCAACAGAAATATTCCAATTTTAAACAGATTGATCTGAAAATATACGTGTGTTGAAGACGAATCTAAATCGAGAAACAAAATCAAACCCAATAAAAATAAAAATAAAAATAAAAACAAAAAAAATCCCATTCATAAGATGATAAGTAAGGAAATAATCATATTCAAGGATACAGATCAACAGATTACAGAAGCAAGAAATTTATCAAACCCAAATCAAAAGATTCCAAGGGAAAGGGACGACGAGGTCAAAAGCGAGAACTCGCAATCGAAAACAACAGTAGATCCTTCTGATCAAAAAAAAAAAAAAAACAATAGTAGATCCTTAAATCGTATATGAGGTATGGAAATACGACTTATTTGCATACATATATGTAGATCGATGGAGAAAAATTCATACCTCTGGCAGTTTGGGGAAAATAAGGATTTTCTCTTGTTGCCTGTGCGTTCTTCGAGGTCGTTTCTGAATCTTGTGTTTGGACCAGGCCCCTTCTTTTTTATATTTCCCAAGTTATTTGTTTCCGGGGAAGTACCTGCACTAATTAATTTATTAATTAATGTATCAATATTAATTATAATATTATTATTAATCTTATTCATTAATTATATTATAAGTATTAAAAAAATTTAAAATTATATTATATCATCAATTGATATACTGATTAATACACTAATCAGTATATATAGCATTATTCTATTTGTTTTAATGACTAATCCAATATAAAATTAATTATAAAACAATACACAAAAAATAGTATGATTAAAATTTAGGGAAATATTATGTGTTGTTAAATTCATTTGCCATTTCGTTACAGCCACGTCACCCACTTCACAAAGTAAACAATGTTCAGATCTGCATATGGTTTTTAAAATTAAAAAAAAAAAAAATACTCTACGATTAATTACACGAAACCAGCTTACATTGCCGTTGATGGAGTTCTGCTGCATCAAATCTTTGATGTCTATGAAATGCACTTGTATTCCATTGTGTCCACCATCCCATACTATTAACCTACACACCATAAACCAAAATTAAGAACCACCATAAAACACAGTTATACAAGTTGTACATGTCAAAGAATACAACATTCTATCCGAACAACCTACCTGTCCCTCTCTAAACCGTACATTCTCTGTAGTAGTTGCCTATCTTTATCCTTCAACATGTTCCACACAGTGTGCCTCATATTCATACCAAAACCATTCCAGGTTTTACGCTCCACCTCGACGTCCTCGACACTGTAAATCACCCCGGGCTCAAACGATTTACCTAGTCTCACATTGGCGTTTACTTGTGGACACCCAAATATGCCGGGATATTCGTAGTCAAATAACCTAAATTCCTGTCTTGGCTTGTTCTTCACCCGCTTGACAAGTGACGTAATTTTCGGCCCAGAACTTGTTGCAGCTGCTGTGTGTTCACAACGACCTTCCACACCAACGACAGCTGCGCCATCTTTTACATTGCCACCAGATACTGTCTGTGCATTTCAGGAACTGCAGCTACCCTCCACCCCCTGTACAGTCGTATGTACATTCCTATGTGCAAAGTCATCTGTCAAATCTTCAATCCCAGTTTCATTCTCAACAATTTCTAATTCGGTGATTCCAGCATCTTCGGGTTGGCCTGCAGGACACGCAGACTGCTGTGCACTTTCGCCACTCGTCACATTGCCAGACCCGCTCACTTTCCCTGACAGACTATTACTCGGTGTTCGGTGATTGGATCCATCATTCACAACAAATTGCGTGATCTCGTGCACCTCAAGATCATGTAGACTATCTTCCAAATTGCTTATTTTTGTCTCCAATCGGTCAACCTGCTTGCTGAGTCGCGCAATTTCAGAATCCTTATCGACAATCACACTATTTAAGTCTGCAAACAAATTCCCAGCATGCCGCCTGTAATAACCCTCACCACTGCTTACCGATAAACATTGATTACCGTTCAACTGAACTGACCATGACTGATAATTGAACTGATTAAAGTACTAAACTGACTGACTGACTGAAAACTGGAACTGAATTGACTGAGTATGCGTGTTAATCTGCATTCTATCTGTTTGATTGTTTACTTGATCTGTTCATGTTTTATGTTTAAGCTGCTAATTAAAGGCCTTATCGGCGGCCGAACCGGGAATTGATTGATGTTTTATGATCCTTAGAATTAATGTGATTTTATAGTGTATTTATCTGAAAACTGATTAGGTATGATTAAATTAGATTAAATATTGATCAATTGCTTAAGTTGGCCTTATTTACCGAACTAGCCTTAGTGGCCACTTCTTGATTCATCTTTGAGCCTCATTTCATACACTTGTCATCAGCTCTTTCCTTAGACTCAACCGACCAAGATAGAGAGTGAGAGAGAATTGAGTTGATCTTGAGTTCATTGATAGAATTGCTTGAGGAAATTGAAGTGTGGTTGCAAATCTAGTTCCCTTGCCTTTAACTGAAGACATAGGTAAGAGAAATCAACATTTATTGATGTGTTTGAGCTAGTTCTTGCATGATTCATGCTTCATTGTAGAACTAAGTCATGTTTTGGTTCATTGTTGTTGAATTGAAGCTCAATCCTTGCATGCATGGTCGTATTGTAGATGTTGAGTTGAGTTCATGGCAAAATGTTACATGCATGTTCACAATTATGTTTAAGTCCATGATTTCATCATGTTTTGGAAATAATTGGCTCCTTAGAGCATCAAATTGAAGCTTTGAATTGATTTGAATTCATGCATGTTTGCATGTTCTCCATGTTCATGAAATTGGTTTGAAATTGGGTTTGAATTAAACACCCTTGGGCTTCGATTTCTCAAATTGAGTTTTGAATCATGTTTAACTATGTGTTTACAAGTGTTTTTCCAAAAATTAGCCCAAAAGGATTGGTTTTGATGCTTTTGAACTTGGTTTTTGGCTTGGAGGTGCAATCTGGAATTTCGAGATTTTGCACTTCCGCTCGAGCAGGGAAAGTGCCGCTCGAGCGTGGAATCCGAGCATCCTGTATCTCTGCACTGTTTTACAGTCCGCTCGAGCGGAGGATTGGGCGCTCAAGCGGAATCATGTGTCTCAAGCTCGAGCGGGCGTCGAGCGTCCGTCGAGCGGAGATTCCACCCATCCAGCACTTTTGACTGTTTTTGCAGAACGCTCGAGCGGGTAATTATACACTCGAGTGGGTACCTTTGTCTGCATGTCCGCTCGAGCGGAGTGACCTACGCTCGAGCGTGACCCCTGTTTTCTGAAAATTCTGAAATTGCTTTTTGAGTACATCTTTGCATCCTCATCTCATTCTAGGCATTCTTAGGCCTAGTTTAAACATCTTATTGAGGGCATAGATGTAGAACACACCGAGGCAAATTAGGGATTAAGTTATTATCTTTCCCAGCTGTGTGGCTTAGTGTGTTCAATCTGTTAACTATGTAGGGTTGGTGACTGGGGAGGCACGCTCTAGCATACTGTAGCCCAAACTCTGTGAGTAACGATTGTGTAAAGATATGTTCACATTATTATTTCTGAACAACTGAACTGTACTGTTTTAAACTGATTACTATTAACTGATTGAATGTATGTCCTATATTCTGAACTGCATTGTGGCATCCTTAGCACCTACTGTTTACTGTTACTGTGACAGAAATCTCTGTCGGTTCCCTTGTTGGAACCACTACTGTTTACTGACTGATGGCCATCATTTACTGCTCGGTCTTTAAGACCTACTGTTTACTGTACTGTTATGCTAATGGGTGTACCACATATGACTGTACTGACTGAACAACTGAAATATTGTTTAAATGAACTGTTTTCATACTGTAAGGACATTCATTCTTAACCTCTTTACGCATTATGTTATTCACTGGGCTTTAGCTCACTGCTCATATATATATGTAGGTGTTCGGGCACTAGACCGCGGCTAGGAGCGTCAGGGTTACTCCAGTTTTGTCAAGCCAACTACTGTGCCTCACTGCGAGGTTCCGAGCCTATCATGCTAAGGCTTAGGGGTGTTTTAGGACTCCCCTTTCTGTACTGTCTTGCTGTTTTGTAATAACTGAATGGTTTGTATAGACTGAATGTTTACTGTACCGTTACATAGGGATTGAGTCCCTATTCTGAATGATTGTATATACTGTGTATACCTTTCTACTGAATGTATATATGTTTGAAAAGTCTTTTTGCATACAGACTGTCACAGCTCATTGGGCATGGTTTAATTACTGTATTGGCTTCCGCCAGGCCCTGTACTCTGTTTTACTGTACTACTGTTAAGCAGGCCTTCGGTAATCTCGGATTACTGGCCGATTACGGTGCTAAACCCATAGGGCCGGGTTTGGGTCGTGACACCGCCCGAGCAGTTTCTCCAGTGTTTCCACACGCTGCTCCAGTTCACATATTTGTACATCTTTTCTATTGATTTCACTCTCTAACTCAATAATTCTGACTTTACAAGTTATCAACTCATCGTTCACCCCCCTTGTTCCTCACCCACGGCTTCACCATCTGGAGTGCTGGACAGTTCTAGAAGATCTGGGAACAATACCGGCCAAACTTCTCCACGTGACGCCAGCTTCCCACCCACTTTTTCCTTGCTGGTCGGTGTTCCAGTATTCTTATTATCATAATCATTCTGCCTCTCTATTTTCATGTTACCACCAATTTTTGTGTCCAGCTGCCAACAATTGAAGCTTGGCTCCACGCTGCCAACATCATCTGTCTCAATAATAGCCTTACGTCCATCGCACACTTCAGCTGGATCCATATCCATCATAATTCTACCACATTCTTTCGGTTCAATCGCAGCAGCAGCCAGTTTGAGAGTATGACACTCAGTAATTGTCCCAACAAGTTTGCCACAATGCACCTAAGTAAAATTACAAATAAAACACACCAGAACTTCAATGTTTGTGCTGGGAAAATTTTAAAAACAATTAAAAAGGGTTCTAATTCCATACCTCAATGCAACCTTCTGCCGACAAATTTATTACTCTTAGTTTCCCCACAGCTGCTCCAATGTTCCATCGACAGAACCTTGGCGTCACATTAGGTCGCTCCGGAGAGACGATGTTTGAATGTTCATAAATGAGAAACTGAAATTAAACCATCAAACAACCATTAAATAAATGTGAAAACGACTTACGACTGTGTTTTATGTTTTAACACTGAAATTAAACCAGCAAACAACCATTAAACCATGTATGTGATTGTCATGTTGTTATTGTACGTACCAGCAATGCTACGACGCAACCAGTCACCTTCTCCGGCCTATTGTGCATCTCATTTAGCGACCCAATCAACGTGTTCCTTATTATTGCAGTCCAGTCATAGTGTCTTAACGTGTCTAGTTTGTCGATCACACAAACAAACGCCCAACCTATATGCTCGCCGGTCGTTGCGAAAAACAACTTGGCACAAACGTAAAGACACAACAATTTCACCACATCTTCTTCGTCACGCTCTGTACGTGTAGACACCCCATTTTTGACCGACCT